TATTATAATATAATATAATTTGTAGAGTAAAATCTTCCTCGGAAAGGACGTTTTGGAATGCAATCTTAATAGCATCGATTACCATTATGTTAGTCAACGTGTTAATTATAAATAAAACATATTTTATTTTTGCAAATTTTTTCTTTTACTTGGATTTTGCTTTATGTTTTATAACAAAAATTTTTGTTCCTGTCAAATTTATAATGATTTTTCATGTAACTTATTACAACGTAATAAGTAAAAATTCTTGTGAAATATTTTTATACGAAAATATGTATAAATTTTATTATTTTTATCATTGAATATGCATTTTCCATCAAATTTTTATTATACTGAAAAAAATTCTAAACTTTAATAAATAAGATAAGAAAAGAAGTAAATCCACTCGATATGTAAACACAATAATTAAATGAGTAAATAGGTCCAAAAAAAAATTAGTAAAAGAAGGATTTTAATTTAAACTAGTACATTATCTCACAATTATTCACAATTAACTAGTTAGTCGAACCATTAATTTAACTTGACAATTATTTTTTTTTTATTAAATATTTATTTACGGTAAGTACATATTTAACACTATTCAATAAATATTCATTAAAATTTGATACATTTTTTTCTCAATATATTCTCTACCCAAAGAGTTAATCAAGATTGTTTCTTGACTTTCGAACGTTTGTTACCTTTACAGCTATATTTTTTCACAGTATGGTAGCTCGCATGAAAATACGTCAGTTTTTTAATCTTTTAAGGTGAAAAATATGGACAAGAATTATTTTATCACTTCCCATTGCAGGAGTGCCGAGAGTAATCTTTACACGAAAGTAGCTGAACTACAAGAAGATATTTCTTTGAAGCGTCTCGACCTCGGTGTTGCGCAACTGCGTCTAGCCGCAGTGCAAGCACAGGTAAGCACGTTCTTTATTCCCTTTAATTATAATTACCGTCGCACGTTTATTATTTTATTCATCTCTAAGCCTGACATGCCATATTACTTCATCCCGTTGCAAAAAACGTACTCATATTTATTATACAACTTGCGCTTTTTAAAACGCAATCCCATGAGCTATATACCATTTATTGCAATAGCAAGATTCATGAAAAATAAGATACACATTCAAATGCGATTCTGTTATAAAACTCTCTTGTGGAATATAACAATAGTAATATATGTTATAGAAACACAATAGTGAACACCAAATAAATAATAAATATAAATCGTGAAATGAAACTTCGGTTCAATTCTATTAGGATAGTTCTGTATTAAATGACTCTATGTTCATGAAAATGGATCAGAGGCATCTATCTTCCGAGTTCTCCCCATTTCATCCAATTTGTTCGACCACGCGTAGCATCAAGAGCCTCATCTATGTATACAGTATACAGGATGGATGCATCGGTAAAGAGCTACTCAATTGTTCGTTATTAACTTAAAGTGAAAATTGCACTATCCAGAATTGATAAAAAGGTCTGTTAAAGCTAATGAAATTGCCATTTATTATTAATCATGTGTCTTCAGTAACTAATTAATGAGACAATATTGAAAACTGATAGCAGCGCAATATCATGTTTACAAAATAAATTATGTCACATTATACTATTAGCTATAAATATATATACGAGCAAATCTAAATTCGTTCGTTAAAATATGTTGGCAAATTGGATTTGTCATTCCACGGATAATTCAATTTTGTCAATATGTTTCTAAAATAGATTATCTAAATACAACAGTGCAATTTGAAAAAGAGAAACAAATATATTCGAAAAAAGAAATAATGTTAATCTGAAAAGGATTAAATTTTAAATTATAGCTGATGAAGTAATTTCAGTATACGCGTATGGAAAAATATCGCGCGCGGTGAATTGTTTACGGTCAGCTCGCCTCGGAGACGCGATTTCTTGGTGTGCGTGACAAATATGAACGGTACACTTTTTAAAAGTTTTCTAAGTAGGAGGCTTGTCTGTGGCCATTCACTAGCGATTGGTCATTCACTGATACGCTTTAGCCTAAACACCGGATAAATACTGGCGCGCGCAATCGTGCGACATGCGCCTTTGCAACTGGGTCATCGGCGAGCACGAGCGTCTGAAAATCCATTTCTGGCCTCGTCGAGAGAGAGTCCGTCTATCCAGGTCAGGCGAGCAGGATCGTCGCTGTCTGACCGCGCGCTGCCGTTTTACCACCGCTCATCGTAATATCAAATCGTGATCGCGTCCAGTCTGAAGAATGGGATGGACTACGTTACGTACGCGAGTCGTTAGTATTTTTTCTTCTGGTGAATTATGGTTCCGAGCACGCTATATCACAAGAGTGCTGCATGATCCAGTGGACTCGCTCGACGACTACGAGCAGACCGCCCTGGTTGAAAAGTGCTTAACAGTGCTCCTAATATCTATGATTATTAAGAACATTAACATTTGATTATCTGGTGATATTAATTCATAATGATATTATTACACAATATTATTATTCATTGATTTTCGTTATATTTTAAATTAAATCTACATGATTTTACGTTTGGTCGTAATATTAACTAAAAGTAATTGAAAAATGTATATTAATGTATTAATCAAGTTTATATAACGATTAGGGACATAGGGAGGGATTGTGTTATTAAACGGATAAGGAGTTACTTATTCATTGTGAAGTTGAGCACAAAGAGGCTAATGTTACGACAGAGAACAATGGCCGAGTATATTCTCAATGATCACGGAGATCAATGAAAATTGACATGCATGTATTGTCAATGAATATATTCCTACAGTTGAAAACGAATCGCAGTGATATCTTCTTTAGAAACGTTTCAACCAGGGTGGTATATTGACGCATTCGTTTTCAAGTTACGTGTTGCTAAGTGCGTATTGCGACAGAGATGAAACTCTTAATCTCTGAACGAAAAAACTCTCATCCTTGTATCTTGTAGAAAATATAATAATGCAGCTATAATCACCATTTAAATGCTTATAAAAGAATCGCATTTATGCTCCAGATATTATTTTTTTGGACAACATTAATAAGAACTGTTGTTCACGTTGAGATTTATATGCAGCAATTGTCGGCGACTATTTATCTCATTTGAAAGCCTCGGAATTTTTAATTAAAGGACATATTTGTCGAATCGCTAAATCGTGCGTGAATAAAATATACATAATCTCGTTGTTTTGCACGCGATGATTACTATTGATCAGATTAATATAAATAATAACTACGGAGGAATCGTTGGGATAATACTCCCCACGTGGATGTAGATTAAACTCACCCTGAGTCACGTGTGTGTAGAGCTCGCTCCTTACTCATTCATAGGGACGTGTAAACACGCAAATTGATACGCAAAGAAGCATGTAATCATCATCGTTTAGGGTGTTTCCGTGTGCGAACGGTAATGGACTCTTCTCTTATGCACGAAGCGTAAATTTATACAGAATGTTTCAGATCGTCTTTGGAGTCATTAATCAATATCGAGCTCATATTTCCTTAATAAAAATTTCATACAGCGTAAAATACTTCATTCGTAATTTGTTTGATTTCCAACGTTAATTATTTATAATAATTAAAACTCCAAATAAAATTACGTTAAGGTCTAATTGAGTGAAATTAAATAAAAAGTAAAATTCTATTATTTACTAATCTTAAATTTTTTCGGTTTTTTTTTAAATTTCAATTATTCGAGTTTTTTAGATTTTAGATTTCAAAAAATAAAATTTTTTAACACTAGAAAGGCATTTCACATTTCATATTAAAATAATGCTAAATTTTTCCACATATTATTTGTTACAAAAACAATCATGGAAATATTTTTTATATTACATGAATTAAATATATTATATTAGATATTTTTTAATTATTGAAAATGTTTTATGTATAATATGTGTATTATATATATATATATATTTTTTTTTTTTGTCAATTACAGAAGGAACTTTTCGGAGGAGGCGAAGCTGGTCAACCGGATGGAATGACCAGTCGGAAGATGTCAAACGGTTCAACCGGAAGTCCCAAGCTGAAATGGCTGAAAGCATTCAAGAGCCTAAAAACTAGTTCGCCCACAACACCACCGTTATCCGACAAGTGAGTTTATTTCCTTTCTATTAATACCAATTTTCATCACGTGCATGCCGCGAAAAAGTGCCGAAGTTTTCGACGCGACGGAGATGATTTTTCACCAAGCAATACCGGGAACTATATATTTGCTTTTTATTATATATGTACTCTTCGATACAAATCCCAGAAATGAAAGAGGATCATTTTTGCTTTTCGAGTAAATCTGACACTGATTGTCTCGTGTTTCTCTTTGCTAAACTTTGTTTCGAGACGCTCAGTAGAGAATAGCGCAGTTGGGATACATTCATGGGATGCGCAAATTGAAAATTTCATTAGCCAACATAGAAAAGAAATAAAAATAATATATAGTTGTATAACTCGAAGTTCTATTTCAAAAGATGTACTGCTAAAAAATAATTTACTCTAATTTTTCTTCTTATCTCTCAGTGTGTGTGTGTGTGTGTGTGTATACACACATACACACACACACACACACACACACACACACACACACACACATATACCTATATATATTTTTAAAAAAGCAGTTTGCGAATCCTACGTAACGTATGCATGAATAAATGAAATAACGAATGTTCTTCAAAGATTAGATATCGCTTTATCTTGATGTAGATAGATGATTTTAATTCGACTTTAATTATTTCTCCATCCGTTATTTTAATAGGAAATTAGAAATTTTCTCACAAATTTTGAAAGTTAAATTAGAAATGTAGTCACTGTAGGTACTCTTATTCAATATTGATGTATTAACTGAATTAAATGCGAAAGTTCTACAAGGAAAACTTGAATTTGTGTTTCGCAAACAATTCACTCGTCAAACATTTCACCGACAATGGAAACACCTTCACCGTCATCTTAGAAAACAAACAGCATAGAGTAAATAAAGTTTTTCTTGTTGCACCTTCGCAGACTTATAGAACGATTGTTGTCAAAGTGAATTCTCAAGACGAGACGTTTGAGTTAATATATGCTTTTACTTCCGTGTGCTTTGTAAGTTTCCCAATTAGGGGAACCATAGACGTTAGACGAAAGGGACTTTGAATAACCGTAGATACTGTTTTGCGAATGCTCGACTAATAAAGAGGAAAGCAGGCAACCATGTACCACGCAGTTTCCACCGTCGTCGCCATGTCCAGGTAAGTTTCAGATTGTTCGTGAACATCAGTTGATATTACAACTTTACATTTGTCATTTGAAAACATTTGAAAACGAATATTTACTTGAAACATGAAATCGCTTTTAATAAAATTTTTACTATTTAATCGGACAGTTGATTTATTCTTATTATTTATTCTTACACATTAACAGACCATGTTGAAATCTTTGTATGTTAACAAAATATTCTTATTTCCTTCCGATCTTATTATTATTTTGTTATATAATTAATAAAAAAAAAATTACATCCGATATCGCTATATTAATCTTCCGTCTGCAATCATATTTTTGTTTCCTCCGCCTGCAATCTGGATCTTTTTTTTGTCCAATCTAATTAAGTTCTTTTTCATTTTAGACTTTCAAAGAAATTCAAGATAACTTTTCAACATCTCTATTATCAAATAATTTTTAACTCAAATGTTAAAATCTTTATTCGATAAAATTTAAAATTTGAGATTGAAAGAACTATATTGAAAGAATTATATGAAAAAAGTGCTTTTAGTCAAATTAGTTAAAACTGTGATATTTTGTAACTTATGAGATACTGATAAACGCCTGTTTCTACCAATGTAGATTAACTTATTTTTTTATTTTTTTCTAGTGTTAAGAATTAGAAAAGAATAATGCGTAAATTAAATCGAGATTAAAATTAATCTACATTGGTAGAAATGGACATAAATATCACAACCATAAAAAATAGATTTTGCAGTAGCATCGTTTGAAAATTTTTGTAACTGTATAAACAATAAACATTTATACAGTTAAACATATAACATACATACAACCATTTGTATGTATATTAAAGTTTATATCTCTTTGTTAATGGATGGCAGGGAGAGAAGTGATACAAATGTATACGTATCATTATAGGATAAAAGCACTAGATATGGATGAGGCACTAGTTCCGGATCACTTTATATTTAAATAATTATAGTATTTTCAATTAAATAAACATATATTATAAGATTCTTTAGCATTTGTTTTATCTTTTTCAAGTGTCAATTGATTTTAATTTATTACAAGAACAGCGCTACATATTTTATTGATGTCATTAATTAATTAAATGTGCAAGGTTAATCAACATATATATCTTCAAAAATTCATTCAAAGTGTAATGTCATAAGAATTATCTTATAACTTTTATAGTAGATAGCATTAGATTTAATGGAAAAAATCGAAAACGTTCAGTTGAGAGTAAATGTATCCACATTTTATTAATCACTATGTTATAATTTGATATTATATTTGTTTAATCACTATGTTATAACGATACTTTTACTGCATAAATTTATTTTAAAAATGTTTAAAAACGTGTCATTTCTTATAAATAATGTCATTCTGAAAAAAATGTATTTGTTTTAAGTATCGAAATAGAATATAAAATAGTATATATACATGTCTATATGCAAAAAGTGTTACCATTCATAATTTAATTGGTTTTTATTGCTAAATGTTTAATTTTCATTAATTCTTATAATTTTAATTATCATTGACTTTTAACTGTCACTAATTTTAAATAAATTTGAACGTGTTAAAATTGCATCACGATTCACAATTAGATCCTAGAACTAGATATGGATTATCAATTCGGATTATAATTTCGTTATATATAATATTACGTTATATATTATGTTATATGTTATATATTACAATATGCATGCGCAAATCATTTTTATTATTCTTACGAGATGTAGTAACGCCACTAAAAAAGATAAAGCATTGAATTGATCCCCAATTACTATATGAGGTCTAATTGTGGATAATTGTCATTACTTTACTTAATTTAAATTAAAACATATATAAAACGGTAATGAAATGAAATAAAATCATCCATAATGTAATCTTTATGATTAATCATAACCATTAAATATTTTATTAATTGTTTGATATTTTTCCGGATAAAAAAGATGAATTTTTTTAAAGAGTGATCCATAACTAGTATTTTTACCCTATATGTAGTTGTTTGTGTCGATGGTTATTTCATTCGTACATTTGACATTACGTATGGACATACAGTTATGTATATACATGCTGATACAGTTAAAAAAACAAACTGTGTACTGTAGATAAAGATATTCTTCAATTAAACTAAAAATAACAATTTTCAAATGATATTACAGCAAAATTTGTCCATTTTTGATGGTTGTGTTTATAGAGACTATTGATCAACATATATTGATCAACACTATAAAATATCACGGATTCAGTTAATTTAAAATCACTTTTTCCATATAATTAATCTTTTAAAGTGAAATTTGTCGTTTATGCCAAAAAAAACCCAGACAGATGGAGGATTAACTTTGTGAATTCTATTCTTGGATAAAAAAAAATTATTAATTAAATTGTATATAGGCTATAAGTAAAAGTTGGATGTCGAGTGCTAAATTGATATTTAATATTCAAAACATGGATAAGAATATACAAGAAATAAACATTTCAACCTTTATTAGGTTATCCTCAGTGTAACAAATATAGTTAATAATAAATATAGTTAATAAATAAAATAAAAATATAGTTAATAATAAAAAAGTTCCGCAACGCCAAGTCGATTAACAATAAAATTCAAATTATACATAAAGCATTACAAAATTCCGAATCACTTTTCTCTTTATTTTTGGTATCTTCCATTATGTTATTGTTCAGTATCGCTAATGTCTGTCATTTCCACTTGCCGCGGTGGATCGATATCACATTTGTTATATAAATTAAATAATTAATTTAATAAGTAATAAACAATTAAATAATTAAATGAATAAAAAATAAATATAAAAATTTAATTGTTTATTACTTTAATTACTTTAATTACTTTAATTACTTATTAAATTAAGTATTTAGCTAAATGATAAACGTTAGCAATAAACGCAAAAAATAGAACAATTTTCTTAAGATTGCAATGATCGATTTGGACGATATTACTACGATTGAGCGATACTGAACAATAACATAATGGAAAATACCAAAAAATAAAAAGAAAAGTGGTTCGGAATTTTGTAACGCTTTATGTAGAATTTCAATTTTATTGTTAACCGACTTGGCATTGAGAACGTTTTATTATTAACTATACTTATTATACTGTGTGAGGATGACCTAATAAAGATTGAAATGTCTGTTTCTTGTATATTCTTATCCAAGTTTGAAATATTAAATATCAATTTAGAACTCGACATCTCCAGCTTTTACTCCTGTAAGCCTGTATTCAATTTAATTTTTAATTATCAAGTAATAATATTTATTTTTAAAAAATTATAAGATTTTATTTAATTTAATGCACTCTTCCTCGCAAGAACACATATGAAACGGTAATAATCGCACGATCGCAAGGAAGCACGCGCACGTCGACTTTCGCGAAACCCGAGGAATCCGTGAACAAGGAAGATTACTTTCACAGGAAGAGCCTTGAGTCCGAGGGTGGGCATACTTGGCGCGAATACACGTACCGTAAGATTACACCGTGCGACGCTTGCGGCCAGGTGCTACGCGGCCACAGCCGCCAGGGTGTCCGGTGTCGGGGTTGTAAGGCAAACGCGCATACGGACTGCATCAACATGGTGCAACCAGCGTTGTGCCCGAGCCTGGCGCCGAAGAAGAGCGGCGGTATACCGCTTCTACGGCGACAAAAGACGCAAGTAACCACCGATGAGATACCAGCATCATCCGAGCACAGTGAGTACAAATTAGATACACGAGATTCACGACGCGTGTTTTTCCCTCCTGTCTCCCTGCCAGCGACGCGACAGCTCTCTCATTGTCGAGGACATTTTATCGAACGAAGGGAACCGATCGATTTCTCAATAAGCCTGTTATCTCTCGCCGATTGGATCGGGGGGATTCTGTTTTTTTTTTTCATGCATGACGGGTAGTTAAAAATTGTTAGAAATCTATTCGGAAACACAGCCAACGCGAAAGGACTTTTTTTTGCAATTTCTCTTTGTCGTGTTCTATAGTGACGAGTGAATGGATTTAGAAGAAAAAACGGTGGAACTCTTGAAAAATAAAAGTCATTAAAATAAATTAATTATATAACTTTCCTATATAACGGAGAATTGTTTATCGAATAATTTTTAGTAGAATCTGAATCGTATTTTTTAGCTTTTTAATCTAAAAAATATTTCCAAAAAATATTTCAAGACTTATTCTACACATACAATTCCATTCATTCGCTGAAACTGTGTAACTGTTGCGTATTAAAAAGTAGTGAAAGAGTAAATTGCTCGTCTACAAAGTTGGATTTGATATAGCCAATAATATTCTTTATTATGGACTAAAACTTGTTTTTCTTTACAAAAATTTAATTGGATAACACTAATTGAATAATTCAAAATTTTATCATGAAATATTAGATAATGCTAAACATCAAATTAAGATTTTATTGAAGCTGTTGAATTATTTGGAAAAGAAGACTCATTATTTTCTATGGGAGCATCTCTCTGCACTACGATTTAACTCGTGAAGATTATTCGTTCGTTCGTGCTGTTGCCAAAGCCGCTATATCGTTTATCGCGCGTCATCTCATTTATCAACGAAAAAAGGGAAGAAGAAGACAGATCAATGTGAGGAAATTGAGCACTTGGCTGAGCGCGCGATTCAAAAAAATCACGAATAGTCCGTTCAGTGCGCTTTTGCATTGCTGTGTCTCTTTATCCCGTATGGGCAGACGTGGACGCCATATACCAGGTGCTGAAGCAAGCAGGCGAGATCCGTGGAAACTCGACAAACTCACCACCTACGCCTCCCACAGCAGAACATCCTCCTTCCGGTGCAGCACCTTCGTCAGCGAGGGCTTCCTCCCATCCCTGTTCCTCGTCCACCTCTGGTAAGGCGCACTACCAAGAATTCCTACCGATCTTGGAACGTACGTCGGAACCCCGAAAATTTTCCCACGTACAATGGCGGATTACATGCGCGACATTCACCAGGATCTCGAGACTAAGAATCTCATGTTCCAGAATTTCATCGCTTTATATTACTTATATAACGTTATTAAATTAAAACGTTGTTAAATTTTATTAAATTATTATAAAAATACACAATACTGATTTTTTTTCTCAAACTTCTTATCTGATGGGATGGAATTTTTAGTAGCATTTCTTGAATAGGAATCTCGCTCTTTGAATGTTATAATCTGAGTATAATCCGTCATTGGGAAAAATTCATGGAATTCGATATCCAAAGCTATAGTTCAGTTTTAACAATAGATACGCTTCCAAAGCTGAAATATGTCTCAGTTATTGGAGGACATATCTCTGTCGACATACTGGAGCAATGTATTTCTTGAATGTGTATCTTATACTTTATGTAATCTAATTGCAAGTTCGTATCGATATTTAATCCATTATTTTTTTTCTATATAATTCTGTGTAATATTCCCAAATTTTTATTTTAATTCAAACAGTAAAAACTAAATAAAAGTAAAAATCTCTCTTATTGAATTGTAAAGGAGATAAATAACCTTTTAATTATTATTTTTATTTTTTGTAGTATCGTAGTTATTATATTCCTACATAAAAAAGAAGATAGAAATATAAACTGAATTTAATGAGATGCACTGATTGTATTATACACTTATTGTTTTTTAATTGTTCATATGTAAAAATCTTATTAAAATTAGAATTGTATAAGTCAAACGTAAAATCAAAATTCTATCTCATATTCCTATCTTCTCGATTGCTAGTTAAGTTGCTGTTATGTAATCGAATTTATGTATTATTTCTTTTGAAAAGCACGTGTATGTGTGTGCGTGTTTAATGTCGTTTGTGCTCCAGTACTGTCAGTTCCAAGGTCTGTAGTCATTCATGTGTTTATGTAAAGCCGCTCGTCTTCTTCAGGGACATGACTCGTAAAATTCGTAATCTATCGATTCTTCAATGTGTACACTCCTTTCTTCTTCTTCTCCTTCTGCTACACTTATCTTCTTCTATTGCTGCTTCTTTCTTCTTCTATTCTGTATTCTGCTTATCATTAATTTGATCGATTTTTAGAGGTAAGTCGCTGACGTCATTGTTGATATTATTTAACACCATGTTATTACGTTATATCGAAAAGATTATCTGTAGTGATACGACGTTACATTTGTTACATTTGTCACACCCAGGACGATAAATGCCACCTGCCCAATCACATGTTCTACTTTTTATATTTTTATTATTATTATTGTTTATATAATAACTCTTAATGATCTTTAAATTTTATAATATAC